TAAGAATGACTACTATTTGGCTGAAGGATGGTACAGGTTTATATCAGGCAAACAAATGTCCACAAGTTGTAGTTATAGAACCAGCTATTGCGATACTTCATATGCAGGATGGTTGCAGGGAAGCCATCCGTCAGTGAAGGAAGGGGTGGTCTCTCGGAAAGTGTGTTTTGGCAATACTGGTTCACGTTACAGTAGTTACTGTAGTTGTCAATATAGTACATATATAAAGGTGCGAAACTGCGGTTCTTTCTACATCTACAAACTGAAACCCACACCAAATCAGAACTGTCGTTATTGTACTGAATACTAACAGAGTCAAATAAAAAAGCAGTATTATAGGGAAAGTATATCACTAGGAAAACAAGTCCTTTTAGTTTTCTTACCAGCCGAATCTTGTCTAACAAAGAGTTGACTGACTCACTTATGTAATCTCAACCCCCATATAGGCCATATAGGCCAAACTTTGCTAAACGTCATTCTTTTCATTTTTGCTGATTAGCATACAAGTTAACCAATTGAACACGTCGCCAAACTATATATCTATTAACTCAAAAGTAGCATGAGTTGGTCAAATTGAGTAGCTTGTGCAAGTTTCAGCTCGCTGCAACCTATAACTAAAAACTGCGAAATTGCTGAGTGGCAAAAATATTAATGATCTCAGACATTCTTTGTAACTATGGGGAGTTAACAAAGAGAATTTTTTCGAAATTATTCATATATCGTGCTCACATTTTCAGAGATAACTTAAATTGTTATCCTCTTTCAATATTCAGAGACTGATGTTATTTTATTAGGTTAATATGTTAATGAGGCATGTTAATGAGGCAAAAATGTAAACAAGGATTCGAATTACTCGAACCAAACCAGTGTTTCATGGTTTTACAACCCTTAGATAACTCAGAAACCTTTTGCTAATTCATAGTGACTGTTTGCTTAGCTTCTCAAGTCATTTGTTCAACAGCCAAGTTAATCTAGTTAATTCAAACACCATTTGCCAAAGATAGCATGAATAAAAACATGCTGAAAAAAATGCTTTAATTGACTGCTAAGCTCTAGGTCTTATTTGTACCTGTTTTCCTGATTCTTCGTACAGAGTATGATTAAAAAGTAGGAGCTCTTCACACGCTATGCTTTTTTGACGTCAACATCGTACGTATGACCCACGCTAGGAGAACAGTATATGTAGCTATAATTGGTTTATTATAATAGGTCATTTGCAAGATGACGTCATTTAACTACGATCAGAATTTTTCAGGCTTCTTACCTTCTTGTGCAGATAGGACAATCACATGACTTTTTGAGGAGGGCATTTAGTTTATTTGTGGCCCGATTAGCATCATTTGCGCCCGCGGAGAGAGGGTGCAAATGATGCTACGAGAGACACAAATAAACTATATGCCCGACAAAAGTAATGTCGGGCAGTGATTATCATTATTATCATTACACAAGGCCAAATCGTGCAAATTTATTTAATAAGGAAAGATTGTTAAAAATCATGTTGCGGAATGCCCCCGCTTAGCCGTTTGCTCGGCGAAAAAAAGCGTTTTAGAGAGGTCAGTTTGTTATTTGCCCGCAATTGAATAAAGAAAAACGAAAAGAATCCCGGTCGTATTAGTAAAATGAAATGTTCTATTGTAATAATATCACATCTAACGGCACTGAGTGAGCTGGAGAGGCCTTACAAGTTCGTTCCTCTAGTTTCATGCGTTATAACTTTTGATCAAAACTATATTCTTGCATGAGATTTCTAGAAGATGTTTATTGCTCCATCGAGTACATGTATTCAGAGTTTCAGTAACCAGTATTCCCCCTTTGTTTTTTTTATGACATTCTGTAGTGTTTGCGACATGGAATAGGATACAGCGTGTAGAGCCACAGATTATCTATTTTGAGCTTTTTCATCACCTGGTACGCAAGAGCCACTTCTCCACTTCGGACCCCGCCCCCCAAACAACATTCTTTTTCAGCCTAGGCAGCTTAAAAAAAATTTAATTTAAGCATTCATCCAAAAACTGCAAGATAATCATCCCAGCCCCTATCCTCAGTAACGCTTTTGTACCTCTTTACAAATTTGAGACGAGCTGATCGTGTTTGGCAGAACGATAACAGAGGTTTTGTTGCCATCTCTGGACTCTAAACTTGGCTTGCTAACTATTGTAAGAGTTATCTCGTTGAGTTGTCTCTTTTGTATCTAACCTTCTTCAAAACTATTTTAGCTGCTTTATTCAGGACAATCAGTCTTCCTCTTCTTTTTTTGTCTTCAAAACCTTCATTTCTCGATCGATGACCATTTCACCACCCAAGATTCGGATTTTTTCAGTTTTTTTTAGCAGTTATTTCTACTGATAAGCCGGTAAATCGAAGTAAACTTCCTTATGCTTCCATGTAGCTGAACGTTTTTGCGTTTAGAGGGTTTTTTCTTTCATGATATTCACAAAAAACAAGGAAGGAGTTTGAGCAAACCGGGCTCTGACAAAATGCAAAAAATATGTGCCGGAAAAATGCACTCGCGCACGCGCCGCCTTTGGCGGGGAAGGGCACAAATAGAATATTAGAGTCACAAGATGGCACAACAAGCAGAAAATATTAAATTATATCGAAAGACACAACTTTTGTTCAAATGATTTGATGACCAAGTCCAATCGGACTACATTACAGTCCTATAAAGTGGAGGAACGAACTTTACGGACACCCTGTATATATCTCACTACTAGCAGCAGAGAATAACCAGGCCTCAATTGTTCGCTTTTGGGAGGTCTAAGAGGGGAGCAAAATGAATCGATAATGAAACAAACTTACAAAAACTTACCTACTCTGCTAGCATATGAAAAAAAGATAAGTGGAACTTTTGATGAACATTAAGTCTCAAATTTTAATTATTAACGGTCGGCCCACTCCCTTAATGTAGATCGGAGAGAGTAACTAGTAAAAGGGCGTAGAAAAGAAAAAAAAAAACGAAAAAAAGGCTTTGGCATAAAAGTTGGTCCTGGCTTCCTGGCTAGCAGGCTGGAAAACGACTAGCTGTTAAAATAAACTATTCCCACTTCTGGAGAAACATTGGTCATGTCGGTTTTAACTACAAAGAACTACAAAGGACCGTAAACGAATACGCCGCAGAACGAAGGATCTGCAGAAGAACTCATCTGAAAAAAAATATACAAAGTTGGACTATGAATGTTTTTTTATTAATTTCTCAAGTGCTAAAGCCAATACTTTGATCCTTTAGCTACCACATGAAAGTCATCTAAACCTGTCATTGATTTTATTATTATAATCATTATGATAAGTTTTGTTCCATCATTATGATTATTAAAATGATTTGTTATTTTTGTTTAATTTCGATATCATTACTATTATCGTCATCGTTGTCCTCATCGTTATCGTTAACTTTTTCACTATTATTCGAAATACTGCCTGTCCTCTTCAAGCCACAAGTCAGGTGTTTGCTTTGGTTGCAGTCGGGTCACAAGAACATGGTAGACAAAGAGGCCACTTGATGAATGTGCTACCTCCGTCGATACTTATTCATTTACATGCCATGGTCAGGTCTTATACTTGCAGTATAAGAGTCAGCCTCAAGAGGCTAGAGTGGGTATAATAGTCTACTG